GAGTCCCGCAGAAAAAGTGATTGACAGGTGGTAATTATGTGTATAACTTGCCTTTATTCATTTACTGTATGATTTGTTTATGGGTAAAACAAAGACCATGCAGGTCAGGTAGTTTAAACGGTAGGCTACAAATAATTAATTGGTCATTAATTAATTAATTATTCATAATCGAAAATCGAATTGAATCGTGCCTTCAGAATCGAAAATGTAATCGAATCGAGAACTTGGAGGATCGTGACACCCTTAGTTGTAAGGGTTATGCGTGCTGCTTATGTGCCCTGCGCGCCTCGTGTTTTAACTGCCTGCTGTGCCTCGTGTTTTTGTCTTTGTGCACCGTGCGCTCGCAGTTGTAAACATTTTCCAATGATTCTCCAATCAAATGAAAGCAGAGCCGGGGTTTCCGTTGAGTGCCTGCAGTGTTTGTGTTGTCAAGACAACAAAGGAGACTTTTGAAGATGGAGGAGAGACTAGTGGTTGCTGTTTTGAGTTATCCGGTGCTGTACGACCAGGGCCGGAGCAAGCTGAACTGCCACTCTAGGCAGAGAACGATCACGCCGCCCTCAACCCTAATGTGAAAACGTAAGTGAACAGTTATGAAAATGAGCTGCCGCCCTATGCGCGCATATAACTGAGGACGCGCGGGTGCTGAGGGAGGGAAGTGTCGCGGACGCCACCCTCTCTATTCTGCCGCTCTTTGCAATCTTGAATATCACAATATTATTAAATATTAAAATTATATTAATATCAACAGCAACACTCTCGCACAATACGCAGCTGATTCAGTCTTTGACTAGCGACATACGCTTCTTTTTTTCTTTTCAAAACAAAAAAGGCAGTTCGATGTGATCGGCCCCCTAAGTCAGTCTGTGAGTGATGTGTGACTTCTCTGCACACAGAATATTGAACAGTTGTTGTCCACTGCACCTGCTGTTATAGATGGACACCGTGCTAGCATTTTCATTAAATTTTACATTTAATACACAATTGTTGTTTTTCTGTTGTTTTAGGAGAGGGCTGAGCTTAATCTTTGAAAGTGTCCTAATTGTAAAGTTTTATTTGCCATTGTATTGTTTATGTGAAGCTCTTCAGTTCTCTAGCAAAACATTTCTGCCTGTTCAAAAACAGAAAAAGCAAGTACTGGAGATTTATTGCTTATTCCTGTTGTATTGAACATGTTGCAAAGTGTGATCATAAAATCAAGGTCAAAAACATGCTCCGATCGATTGGCAGGAGATCAGTATCGGCAATAATCATATTTACCAACTGGATTGGTACTTGCTGATCTGGCCGATCTCATGAACCAATCACAAGTGTTTGTGTTAGTTGGAGATAAGCAAAATATTTAAATGGTCTTGCATGTATTTAGGCCCTTTCACATATAAGAACTGAAAGTTTTGTGTTTTTGACAACATTGCAAGTTCACTAAAACCTGGCTGAAAATATTAGATACATTTAAAATGATATTTTTAACATGAATATTCAATACTATAACTTCTTGTTATTTACCTAACTGCAAAAAACAGTAGTTAGACATATATTATTTTAGTAAAGATGTATTAGATTCAAAGGATGGCATTTTAACTTCTTATGCATCAAATATGTGCTCTAAACTTAAGCTTGATTGAGACATGTTAAATTCTTCTCCCATCATTTGCAGTGTCTCCAATTTTTTTTAGTAGTTTTTCTAATTATCAATTTTTTTATCTGTGCTATCTATTATATTTGTAAAGCTGCTTCTGACCATGACATGTTCACACCTAAATGGTTGTAAGAGACATGTTTAAGGGATTATATGCAGCATACTTAATTTTTTCTCTTAGGTAAGAACAGGTCTCCACTTAAGTGTCATACTTGGAGGGAAAGTGTGTTTTATTTATTATATAAGATTAAAGCATCAGAAACAGTACTCTGTATTGGCCAATTCCCAATGATAAGGAATCTGTACTCGGCCAATGTATCGGCTGCAAAAATCCTGATCGGAGCAACATATATATATATATATATGTGTGTGTCTGTATGTGTGTGTGTGTGTGTATATATATATATATATATATATATATATATATATAATCTGTACTATGTATCGGCTGCAAAAAAAAAAAAAAAAAAAAAAAAAATATATATATATATATATATATATATATATATATATATATATATATATATATATATATATATATATAATGTTAATTCCCATTTCAGTTTTGTCTCATTGCCATCTGTGGAAATCCAGTTTCAGGTTGTGTTTCTTTTTTTTATATATAGTTGGCAGAGGATTTTTTGTTTTTGTTAAACAAGATGGCTTGTATATTTAGAGGAAAGGTAAATGGCCCTAAAGTATGTCTGGTGCAGTTGTTCCTACGCCACTGTGTATGTTTTCATGGCGCTTCTCGTGCTTCCTTCAGACTGAGCTTTCTCCGAGAGAGGGTCAGCACTTTTGAAAAGGCTGATTGAGTTTTCAGCTCGAAGGCTGGAGGGGGTAGCGAAAGGCGACTCGCTCTCTCTTTAGTGCCACAGACCTTTCGTTTTGTGTGTGGCCTTGGAGGAAATGGTCAGGAAACTCACGTCACCCTGAAAGACTGAGACACATTCAGGGTGTCTCGGAGGGATTTGAGTGTGTTTTGGGTTTGACAGGGCTTGCGGGATTGAGGGAGGTGGTGTTTATTCAAGATCTGGAGCTTGACTGAGAAGTGTGCCTGTTAAATGTTTGTCCTAAAGATGTGGGGTTAGCGTAACACAGTGGGTAAAGATCAAATCTGGTTAGCAAAATGTTGTCTAGAAGAGTTAGTCCGTTTAAGCGCTTTCATACAAGAGATTAGAACAGCTATTAGGTTCAAGTTGCCTTGCAAAATAAACTGCCAGCTGTGTTGCATACAAAAATTGTAGAACCATTCGAAATATGTTGAGTGTTAAAGAGGAATTATGGATTTATAGCCTCTTTTCTGTGTAAAATTTAAAATAAGGGTTACATCTAGACTGGACAAAATATTTAGCACTTTCTTTTATCCTTAACTTGGCATTAAATATGAATTAAATAAGCATCATGTTGTCACCACAGTATAAATAATTTTCTTTGACTGTCCAGCTTTTAATGTTTTTATGTTTTATCCTATATTAAAGTGAAAATTCCAATGCAATTCAACTTGTCTGTTTGAATGGTTTTATTGTATTTAGTATGTTTGTTTTGGCCATTAACATACCCCATGAAGCTGACATGGCATTAAATAGAAGATTCTGTATGATACAATACAATCTTTTCATAGTAGTTTTATGGTTCATATTAATTTAAATCATGTAAACAAGGCGGCATGGTGGCTTAGTGGTTAACACTGTCACCTCACAGCAAGAAGAACACTGGTTCGAGTCCCAGCTTGGTCAATTGGCATTTCTCTGTGGAGTTTACATATTCTCCTCTTGTTCGTGTGGGTTTCCTCCAGGTGCTGTCCAAAGACATGCAGTATAAGCAGTGTTTCCTTTTTTCCAGCTGTGGCAGCAGGTCTTTTACTCCGATCTACCAACTACCGAGTGTTATTTCATGGCATGAGCGCAGTATTACAGGCCGAGACCACATTTATGTAATACGAGCATGCTAATCTCTTTGCTTGCGTGCCAATTTCCTCTGTTCGTGCACAAAACGTCTTGCACGCCCTCAAATATACGCTGCTCAAGTGCAGATTTTCTTGTGCGCTTTCAAATAATCGCTGCTGAAGTGTGATTTAGTGTGTTTATGTAACAAGTATGTCTGCAACATTTATTAGATTTGCTGGGAATATTTATGAATGTCTCCAATAGACCTACAGAGCGGCATTAATGCATCCTGAAGTGCAATAAACTCCAGCAAGATAAAGTAATTGTATGCAGAGCCTTTGACCTTTATCTAGGAATAAAGTATAATTATGGAAACTGTGTTCATTTTAAATGAAGACTACGTCGTGTTTGCTAGCCTCACGCATCACACACCTGTCTGTCAGTCAGTCAGCATGTGACCTTAAAGGGTTAAACAAATGCACAGCACTACTATGGTTACAGAAACAATTGCACTGTAATAATTCACTTACCTTTTAATACGTTTTGGTGCGATTATAACCCTCAATTAAAAAACAACAACTGAATGTTTTTGAATGGGAAGCTGTAATGTAACCATGGCGGGATGTATAGTAGAATGAATATAGTGGAATCTATTATAAGTGAATTGAATAAACTAAATTGGCCGTAGTGTATGTGTGTGAATGAGTGTGTATGGATGTTTCCTGGTACTGGGTTGCAGCTGGAAGGGCATCCGCTGTGTAAAACATATGCTGGATAATTTGACGGGTAATTCCGACATGTAAACTATTTGTGTTTCTTGGAAATGATTGTTACTGTAGCTAATAATTCTGTGTGGAAAGGTTTTTCTGTCTGCATTTGACTTGTCGACTTGGTTAAAACCTAATAATTCCAAAAGGAAAGTGTGTGTGCGTGAGTTTTTTAAGAATGAGATGGTTCACCATATCATGTATACTACATCGAATGCTGCTGCTCAATACCTTAAAACCACCCAGAACGCAGACATAATCTTGTAATTCCAAGACGGTGAATCATCACAGACATTCCTATCGGATAGGGTTAGCAGAATAAAGCTGTTTGAATAATAAGAATAATAGTAATTCAGTTAGAATTGAATTAAAATCACAAACTCTCCCACCATCCACAAGCAAAAACTCCACCAGAGATATTTTCTTCGTCTGAGCTATGTCCACATAACATTGTTGCCCCTCAAAGCGGAGTCAGGTTATCTTTCAAAACAGATATCTGAGCTGTGGAAGTAACAGGCTGGAGACTCGCAGCATGTGTGTTTATGAGTCTCCCTGTGCCGATTGGCTGAGCTAAAAGTGTGAAAGAGCGTAGGGAGGACTATGCATGAGTCGGGGGTGGGGTAAGGGGCGTGTCCTCCCTCTCTCTCTCTCTGTTTGCCTGGTGTCCCTGCTTGATGAGATCAGCGGATCGCCTTTCATCATGAGGCAGCTCTCACACTGCCGTCTGTCCTCTCTCTCTCCTCTCGTCTTCCCTCTTTCTCTCTCTCCTTCTCTTCCTCCCTCTTCCAGTCCGCCGAGCTGGAGTTGGTAGCCGGAGCCGCGGTACAGGACGGAGTACGGAGTGCATAGTGGGACGGAGGCTGCCACGGCAGGGATTAACCTCAGGGAGGGGGTGGGGGGGTTACATCTCTGGGGAGAAGCTTCTTTTCTCCTGCATCAGCAGGGAGACACTGGGAAAAGAGAAAGAACTAGTGTGCGCTCCTCCTCACAAAGAGAGGTGCTCCCTTCGTGCTTCATCCCACCAGGTTTACTTATTCCTTCTCAACGACAAGGGGATTCGGCAGGGGGGACTATCAAAACTGGGTCTGGGTAAGCAGCATGCTCTTGTATCTGTGTGTGTGTGTGTGTTGGAAGAACTTAATGTGGCGTGTTTGTGTGTTTAAGAAACTATCCAGCAATCTTTTATCCTTCCCCTTCTTTGCTTTGGGCTGTTTGGGTTACCTCATGTGCACTCTTTCTTCCTAGCTCCCGCTTTTCTGGCATTCCCCGTTGTCTTTTATTCCTCTAATAGAGGTTTTGATCCTCTAATTGAGGTTTGATTCACCCTGGCAAGGATACTTCAGCGAGGATACAGGCTTTTCTTTGTGTTGGATGTTACAGCTATCCTGTGATGTTCCTGAAACTTGGGATTTCCACCCGCTTAATACTTTCTGAACTCCAGGGAGCAGGTTCAAGACCTCGAATGCCACCGCGGGGTCGTAGGAACTGTGCCCGATCCTGCTCTTGAGGATAGTGTGTGTGTGTGTGGGTTGGAAAGAGAAGTATTTCCACCTGAACTCGCGGCTCATGTTTTCTCAGCTGCTGTGTGTGATCAGATAAGGTGATTAGAGGATGGCTGTATGATCACCTCCCTGTGTTGCGCGTCACGGCTATCGTTTGTCCTTCTCTGGTTTGGTGTGCAGAGGAAGCGCTCCCACAGCGCTGACTGACTCTAAGCCCGGGGAGCAGATTTGAATGTTTTTCATTGTGAGGCTCATGTTTGTGTGCACGCGTGGCTTATGGATTTGCATGTGTCTGTTTGCCCGCATGTGGCTGTGTGTTTCCAGTACTGGAATGTTTATGGAACAGACTGTATGTGTGTGTGTGTGTGTGTGTGTGTTTAGGGTTGAGAGCAGTGGGGCATCTCTTACAATGAAGTACTGTAGTGGTGTCATGGTACAGTGATGTTATCAGATAATGATGCTTTATTACCTTTACTTTATGAAAACTTAATGATACTCAAAAGCCATGATAATATTGTGGTCTCTTAATAACCCTAAAGGATTACAGTGTTAGTTTACATGTTGTTATCATTGAAACATAGTGATGATGCTACTTTGAATCATTAAAAAGTAACAAACCTTGTTGGATTGTGTAAATGTTCTATTTATTTCAATATAAAGTGCCATAGTAATACTTTCTGGTACCTTGGTGTCACCATAGTTGTTCCTCGTAAGAAATACTATAGTATTGAGAGATAAACTCTGTGTTTTTACTTTGTCCCATAATATGAAAACCAATCTGCTACTATTATTTTATGTAACATCGCATACGTTTTACACAGTGGATGCCCCTCCAGCTGCAACCCTACACTGGGAAACATTCACACACATACACTACAGACAATTTAGTTTATTCAGTTCAGCTATAACGCATGTCTTTGGACTGTGGGGGAAACCGGAGCACCCAAAGAAAACCCACTTGAACACGGGGAGAACATTCAAACTTCACACAGAAATGCCAACTGGCCCAGCTGGGTCCAGCGACCTTCCTGCCCTTGAGGCGACAGTGCTAACTACTGAGCCACCGTGTCAACTTATTTTGTTTAAACCCTATTATTTTAGGTTTAACTTTTTTATGTATATGTGATATGTGTGTAAAAATATGGTCATACATAACATGAAAATCCTAAATTTGTTGATACACATAACTACTTAATGACTACAATGTTCTCTTATCATGGTAAAAACAATCCAATGCTACTCATTTATTTTTCACAGTGCTGAAACAGCAAAATGTTATTATGCTGTATTTTTTATACAGCGGTAGTATCACACAGTTTTTAAAGAGATAGTTCACTCCGAAGTTAAAATTGTCATCATTAACTTAATTTATGATTAATTTATTAACTCAATTTATTTTGAAGATAACTTGAAAATCTTCCAAAAATCCAAATTAACTATATGCGCAAAACCGGAATATCGCATAAGAGATGTGCGAATAAATAGAAGACAATGTTGACATGCAATGAGCGTGTTGTGGTGGTTGAAGGCTTGAGACGTGGAACACATGCTTTTGACAGTTCTGGAGGAAATTAATAATATAATTACACTAATACTGAAACTGTTAAGGCGTTTAAGAATGACCAAATCAACATTTCAGATGTTTTACAGTGTGCTCAGCCTGCTGGTTTGTCCATTCACACACATTTTTATTATCACATGATCTCTTATAACAACATCACATGACCTTTTTTAATGCACATAATGGAATTTTTTCGTTAAAAGTGTTTCCATCGTAGTTGGTCTGTATTTTCTTATCGAATAAAAAGTACATCCTACTCAGTTATGTGCATACATTTTTATGCACATTTTCAAAATGTGTGCATCTTGGCATTTCCAAAATGCGCAAAAGAATAGGTGGATGGAAAGATTGCTAATGACTTTTGTACTATAGATCAGTTTTCATCATTCTCATGAACTTATAACGGTTTGTAACCACTTGAAGTTGAGTAAAACAAAAAGGCTTTTTTTATTATTTAAACATTTTAGATGACAGATTAGTATTTATATTATTCATCATTGTAATTATTTTCAATTCACTGAAATAATAACTTTAATAAACAAAATATGTTCCTAAGACTGTGGTAGGCCAGTGATTCCATTCCCTGCTATAGTCTGCTCTATGGTTTTAAAACCCTTTTTAAACTGTATCGTTCAGACCTGTATAATTTTTTTGTAATGTTAAACATAGTGTTGTTTACTTGTGGATGTCTTATAACTAGCGCACTTCCGCTGAGCCAGCTGTGGTATCTTGGCAACAGAATGTCAACGCACAGAATATATCGGCACAGTTCAGCACGGTTGTCTAACCATGCCGAGAACTCCAGGCTGAGAACGGTTTGTAATTGTGCCGCGCTGCGTCCTTCCAGGCTCAGTGGAGAAACAACCACAACCGTACCATACTGTGTTTAGAACGGTTCGGCACGATAGTGGCAAAGCGGCTTATATTTTCATCATTCTCATGAACTTATAAAGGTTCGCAACCACTTTTTTTTTTCATTGTTTAGTGAACTCTTTCCCTTTAATATAATTTATTTCCATACCTTTCCAAAAAAAGATGCTTCCATGTACGTTTTTGTACATGGACATTGACTCTTTTGCACATATGTCTTCGTGTTTGTATGTGAGTTGAGAATGGTGTGTGACCGGGGCACAGGCTGTGTGTGTGTGTGTGTGTGTGTGTGTGTGTGTGTGTGTGTGTGTGTGGGACGCGGAGGGCAGTGGGACTGCTTTAATCACTGAGTGTGTTGTCTGAGAGCAGTGGGCTGGAAAGAGCTGACTGGAGTTGCTCTGTGGGGAGAGGCTCTTCTGGGAGAGCTTAGAGCTCAGCTGTTAGCCGTATAAAGAGCTACACAACCATTTGCCTAACCATTCAGTGTCCCTCCTTTGGAGAGGGCCACTGGGTTAGAGCCAGAAGCATTCGTGTGTGTGTGTGTGTGTGTGTGTGTGTGTGCTGCTTAAGGGTTTGAAAGGACAGGAGGTGGGCTCGCACATCTGCCACAAGGCTGTGTGTGCGTGTGTGTGCGTGTGTGTGCGTGTGTGTGCGTGTGTGTGCGTGTGTGTGCGTGTGTGTGCGTGTGTGTGTGTGTGTGTGTGTGTGTGTGTGTGTGTGTGTGTGTGTGTGTGTGTGTGTGTGATTATTACCGGTTTTGGGTTGGGGGTGGACACTTTAGTCACAGTGATAAATGGCTTTAGGGCTGTCAGAAAGCCTGGACTTCAATAGCTGTGTCTTATATTTACACTCTTCCTGCACATATAGCTCGCATCTGATGTTTTCACTGCAACGCCTGAAGACTTCTGAGCTCAGGGAAATTAAATGGGAAATTATATGGCGAGATATTTGGAACAGCTTAACGGGAAGTACAAGAAAAAAAAAACCTCGCATTTAATGGAAATCAGATTTAGCATGGGCCTGTCATGAAGGTTTGCAATGTTTTATCGGCTCTCTGGTGATAAATTAGATGCTTGAATCAGAATAGATGTATTAGACAGAGCTTTAATGTAGTGTTTATTGCAGTTATTTTGTGGTTGTTTATAAAATAGACTTGATTTACTAGGTGCAGATATTATTTTTATTTGTTATATACAGTGCATTCGGAAAGTATTCAGAGCACTTCACTTTATCCACATTTTTTTTTGTTACAGCCTTATTCCAAAATAAATTCATTTTATTTTTTCCTCAAAATTCTCAATACCCCATGATGACAATGAGAAAAAAGATTTTTTTTTAAATTGTTGCAAATTTCTAAAAATAAAAAAAACCCTGAAAAATCACATGTACATAAGTATTCACAGCCTTTGGACCTTTGGCAGCAATTACAGCCTTACGTCTTTTTAAATATGATGCCACAAGCTTGGCACACCTGTCTTTGGGAATTTTTTCCCATTCCTCTTTACAGTACCTCTCAAGTTCTATTAGGTTGGATGGGAAGTGACGGTGTACATCCATTTTCAGATCTCTCCAGAGATGTTCAATAGAATTAAGATCTGGGCTTTGGGTGGGCCACTCATGGACATTCACCGAGTTGATATTTTAGCGGTGTGCTTTGGGTCATTGTCCTGCAGGAAGATGAACCGTCGCCCCAGTCTGAGGTCAAGTGCACTCTGAAGCAGGTTTTCATTCAGGATGTCTCTGTACTTTGCTGCATTCTTTTCCCTCCAACCTTACTAGTCTTCCAGTTTCTGCTGCTGAAAAACACAGCATGATGCTGCCACCACCATGCTTCACTGTAGGGATGGTATTAGCCTGGTGATGAGCGGTGCCTGGTTTTCTCCAAATGTAACACCTGGAATTAACTCCAAAGAGTTTAATTTTAATCTCATCAGACCGGAAAATTTAGTTTCTTGTGGTCAGAGAGTCCTTCGGATGCCTTTTGGCAAATTCCAGGCAATGAGTAGCTTCCGTCTGACCACTCTACCATACAGGCCTGATATTGATCACCTCCCTAACAAAGGTCCTTTTCCCCCTATCACTCAGCTTAGATGGCCGGCCAGCTCTAGGAAGAGTCCTGGTGGTTCCAAACATCTTCAAATTATCATCTTTCAAAT